GCGCAGAAGTCGAGCGATTTTCAATAATACAAACGAATTTGTACAAGATACTATTTCTATTAGGGACAGATACTTCTAAATTAAAATAAGCTTCGCGTCGCGAAGCTTTCCGTCAATGGGAATTGAGCCTTATTATATTATATTTATGGAGCAGTTACACCTGCAGAGAACCTACCCCACACTCACGGCAAATTACTGCTTTTTAAGATTGCACATAAAAGTAAAAAGAAAAGGAATTTAAATTAATATTCCGTCAATAAGATGAACACATACATCTCCAAATAAACGGGGTTGATAGTATTCTATGTGAAATAGAATATCAAAGAAGTTTTATGAATTTTGATTCCCAAACCATTACGAATACGGAAAAATACCACAATATCACACCTCGGCTAGACCCATTTATTAATTTTTATTGTTGGTAAAAACGATGTGATTGCAGATTGAAGAAAATATTGTAATTATTATTAGTTTTAGACATGTGATGCTGATAAAAATCTATTTATACAGTGTTATTTGAAGGAGGTTTACAAATCTACAGATTTGCTTGTCTTTTTTTAATATCAAAATAGTTTTTATATTAAGAGATTTAGACGTTCTCTTAATAGGCAGACAGTTTTTATTGGAGGTTTTTGTTGCCAACCGTGGAATGATCCGGTTATGTTGGGACACACGGTGCTAATGATTGTTTGCAAATTTAAATGATGCTTCCTCTATACGAACTTATCTCTACCATAATACCTCTAACGGCCGGTTTCTGAATTGAGAAAAGCCCAAAATCTCAACTGATAATTCACAATAACTTAAGTTTTCTATGTTTTATATAGCAAAAAGTCTTAGTTTTATCAAATTGCTATCAACTGATCATTAAAAAAATATATTTCATAATGAAAACCTGTTTAAAATGGCTTAAGCACGGTTTGAGACGTGCTCAACTTCAAATTTTCAATTCAGAAACCGGGTGTAGGATAATATCTTTATTTTAACTACTTACGAATAACAAAAAATCTATTCGATATAAGTTGTTGTATCGCGAACTTTTTGATATGAGACTTTTGTAACTTAATTACATACTTAATAATACATATACCCACGCATTTGCCTACCAATTTACATGTTACATGACGAGATTAGATATACCATGTTATTATGATGTTAGCTTAAGTGGATTCATGAAAATATCTTGGCGTCTGTCTTGTTTTTTTTTTACATATATCTAACATTATAAAAAACTAATTAATCTATAAGTATAATAATATTATAAAGACGAAATATTTTATTTTTTATCTGTACCGAATATGCTCCGACTCTACGGGAGCTATTTTAAAAACTCTTTCACTATCACTTAGGCACAGATATACATAAACTATGCCTAGGTAAGTCATAGGCGGGTGACATAAACTAATTAGGTATAGCTGTTTTTTAATTTTTTAAGATTTTTTTTTTATTAATTAATATAAATAAAATTTTCATAAATAATGAAACTTGCTCATTTTAATTTGTGCATTTGGTCTTTTTTTCTCAGTTATTCTCAGTACAAGTTATCTCGCCGTAGATTTGTCTGACTTTTCGTTCTCCCAAATAAATGTAATCAAACTGATATCAAATTTAAATTTGTTGGTTTGACTCAATTTTTCAAATCATAAGGCTTCTTTTCCAAATTGTTCCGTATACGTATTTTGTATGTTTGCTGATTTCAGGGTTCCGTACGTAAAATGCTTCTGCAGTCTGTTTATCATTTGATTTAAATATTTTCTATTGAATCAGATTTTCGTGACGGCTTTCAAAACTTTCACCTTTTTAAATTTATCAAAAATAAGAAAAATTGCGTTAATATTTTATTAAAACGTGAACCATATCAATATTAATTAAGTTTTAGACCAAAAATACTATTCTGGTACACGATAAATTAACGGCGTACATAAACCTCATATTAAAATTTCTGAACAGCACCACTACATAGCTTTATACATCAAGAAAAGATTAACTTAACAACACACTAAAATTTTAACTCAGAAACTGTCAAGTTATATTTGCAGACACATTTCGTGTGCAAACTTGAATCGCACTTGGCAAATTTTTCTATTCTATGATATCAATATTCCAGACGTCAGACTGAAGCTGAATAAGTCAACGTGTTCCTCGGTGCTCCGTGACAGATGTCAGAGGCGTAATAAAACTTTCCCATTGCCTTCGTCGGGCTCTGATTCAGACTTACGCAAGGAAATCTTGCTTTATATATGTGGAAACTTCTCCAAAACTAAATCCTATACTTTGACGTGTAATCCGTTCTTTTTAGTATCCCATTTGATATGATATTTGGGCGAAATGGTATATATAATATTTGATTTATATTTTTATTAACATTTGCTGCAACCCATTCATTTATAGAAGCTCATTTTCACCTGTAAAGTGATTACCTATAGGACAATTATTTCAATTAACTTTTTTATAAAAATAAATAAAGATTAATATTAGACAACATTACTAACATTACTGAACTCACAAATTAAATAGCGATAGGCTTTTTTATGATGGAAATCCGAACAACGATATTGTTCTCAACAGTATCTACAAATGTAAAACATCTTTTAATTAAAGTTCTGTATCTCCAAATCATCTTTGTGCAAATACTGTCATCCAAAAATTCTGACATCGCGAGCCGTTAACCATAAAGTAAGTTTAAATATAACATTCAGAATAAGGCACACTTTGACCTTTCGTACGATTGCAAAAGCAAATGCTAACGAGTGTATAACTCTGCGAATATCTGCAACAGTCGGTTAGAAGTGTTAGAGCTATGCGCCTATTTGCGTCGCAGCCGTTGGTTTATTTGCATTTGTCGCGCGCCTGCGGGGCCGTTCACACGACGCGCGCAGACCGCACAGACCATGCGCCTGCACGTACTGTGCTATTTCTGCGCCAAATTCCGTGAGGTCTTAGTATTAAGGATGCTAAACAATGGACCTATAAGTCTGTGACTGCTGCTTTGATATAAAAACTCCTCAAACTCATCGAGCTATACGCTGTCATACCTTCTTCAAAAGGTAATAAAACATTGAAGCTCTATAACGTGACAGCACTCCGTTCGACGTTGAACTCATGGCTGTTATAGCGCAACGACTTTCGCTGATTCTATTCTATTCTAATTATTCGTTTTAACGTCTCGAAATTGAGGCTATGTTGGAAATATTGTACGTTGTCATAAAGCAAAAATATTACGCAATGAATCAACTTTTGAACGGTTTCATCGGAGGTGTTGATTGAAAAAGACAATGGATAGTGTGCGTGAAAATAAAAGATATCAATAAAAATAATACTAATAGATGTATCAATCTGATCTGATCTGAAAATGAGCAAACTAGTCATGTGATATGCTTATTTTAACGTCTTTTCAACAATGATATTAATATGTCCAGATATACATACGCAATACATACCAAAAAAGTGAAGCCACTACAACTAAGACGTTCGTCTTAATTGACTCGTTCTTCATTCCAATATTTTTACGATCATTAATTAATAATCTATAAGCTATATGTAAATATACATAAAATTAAAATTTTCATCAATGACAATGACTGTTCTGATATTGAGCTGTGGTTATTCCTGGCCGATCATATGAGCTTCGTAGCCATTAAGATATAAAAGCAAATAAATGTGGTATTTTTATGGAATTTCAAAGAAATTTAATTAAAATTGGCATCATTCCACGAATAAGGCTATTTATGAATCCACAGGCCGCATTTATTGAAGCGTTTTTTTCGTTAGTTGTAACTGAAAAAAAAAACAACGTAAATGAAGTAAATGTTCACTCCCGATTTACTTAAACGGAAAAGTCATTCGTCAAAAGAAGAACCACTCGAGTATGCGGTATCTAAAGATGGTGCCCGCTGGCATCACACCTATCAGATGAGAACCGGCTCACGGCGGCGGCGCGGCGTCGCTAACAAATGAATATGAGCATTGACAGCGGCGCAATTTATCTTCATCGTGCCTGGAACGCATTGATTATATCTACCGTTTTTGCAACAAACGGCCATGTCCAAACTACATACCATAACCGGTACCACAAACATATTCTGACCGAATACACAATCAAAAGAATCGATCGACAAATTACCATTTTTGTATACCAGATGTGCTCATAGTTCAAGTGAGTGTAAATGGTAAATTTATAGGGAAAGGTATTCTTCAAATTTTGCTTATCTACATAGATACTTCTTCTTATGCTGCACACTGAAATCAAACTTGAATACTTGATTTATTTGGTAAATCAATTGACTTATAGTACTTTGAGAACGAATTCATCGATACCGGCACGATATTGGTAAATGAACTCTAGAAATCTTCGTCTAGATTCAATGCATTCTCAACCTCGTAATATTCACCGAAGTTATTGATGTCGGTGATGTCAATACAAATTACAACGGTTACGTGGTACGAGGTTACATTACTACGACACCAGGCAGGCGGACTTGACACAAACAAGCGGGAACTTTTTTTCTCATTCATCACTATATTATGAGGGCACGTACACCAAATTTACTAACTCAACAGGTTTTGTATAAAGAAACAAGACTCAAATAATAATCAACGAGATATTACTAAGGGTTCTGTCAAAATTATGGCGATAATAAAATCACAAAGTTGCCTCTAAAATACAGCATATGTTCATTTCTTTTATTTTGTAAAAATTGTAGCCGAGTGCTTTATGTATACTTTTACAATAATCTTAACAGTTCTTCGTAGTCACATGTAATTGGCCATCCTAAGTCCTCACTTCATTGCAGAGGTCTAATGAGCTAGATAGTGACAGTCTTTTGTCTCTTTCCCATCTTGAAGTCCACGTTGTATCCACACGACAGCCTCTATTTAGAGATGGAGCGATGCCATTCAACCGTAACTTATCGATATTCTCCAAAAAATCTAACTTTAACTTTAGAGAAGTCTGTTTAACCAAATAGGTCATTCTAACACTTTTTACTTTCCTTCACCAGGTCCGTCAAGAATGTGGTACACCAGCGACATTTGATCTACCAAGTCAGCCCAGCACTCCGCACCCTCCCGCAGCACGGCGGAATTCTTTAAGAGCGCCACCACCATACACAGAACTCCTTCATTTCGCGGCCTCCTTAGCCAGGAATAAGAGACTTTTCGCCAAAATGACAGACCAACTATGTGAAGCAGAAAACGAAGACGATGCACAATGCTGGAATGGCGATTCAGTTGGAAAGTAAGTAATCTTTGTATATCTACTCGTACCAATTATAATTTGTTTAAGAGGTTCAAATTTTGTGTGCTTCATCTACTGGCGAACGTCCAGTTACGTTACTGAATTGTAATCAATAATAATTTACTAACAGGTACACAAAGGTGCTGGTTGCATCGGCTTCAGTTAGCGACCAGAAGTACAACCCGGAGGTGACGGTAGCAAACAGAGATCATGACCACGCCGCTGTGGCTGCTCTTAGAAATCGTTTTTTACAAGCTAGGCAGGTGAGTCTAATACACAATATGTATAAATTTTAAAGCTTAGTATTGGCCTCACTGTAATCTACTAGATATGGTTGAGATTTTCTTGAATTGGGCGTATTTTCATTCACAAAGCGTTGTTTTATTTGTCTCAATCTTAAGGTCGACGGATAATCATTAAGTTGCTTAACAGTTCATCTGCCCATGAGCACATAGTCAAGACTTCTGAATTGTGGAAATAAAAACAAATATAGAATACTTGTTTTTGTCTCTAGCTACTTATGACTTCTGCGCTGAAAAGCGCCGCGCCCGCTGCTGAAGCATTCATGCAGGGTGACGAAGCGGGAGAAGAAGGCTCAGGATCAGGCAAAAACTACGACAGCGACGAAGGAAACGACGACACTTTTTACGACCAAGGTTCAGGTGATACAGGATCAGGCATGGAAGGTAAATTGAAAACTCTTCTTAATTAAATTCGTTTAAATAATTTTTAAATCTTACTAATATATTTTCCTTTATATTAATATTTTCTTTTATAATTCATAATATTCTTCAGTTTATTTCCCAAAATATATCAATCCCAAGTCTACAGGTAATACAATTTTTTTGTTTATAAAATCATGTTTTATGAACAATGATATGTATTACCTGTTTTACTTTGCTTGCTGCTTATCACTGCTATTATTGAGTCAATTAATCCGTTAACAGGAAGCAGATCATTTCCTGGGGGGGAGCCAACATTCACGTCTACGGTACCAGGAACTTCATATGCGACCACATCGCGACCAGTGCTTACGGCCATTCTCAGTGTAGCTTTGATGTCTGCAGCCAGATACTGTCTGACCTAAATCCAATCGCTGAACTCCTGTGACTGTTCACAGCGCCTCGGTGAGATCTCCAGAATTCCCATATCATTATGTGAAGTGGTGTGTGCAAAGCACGTCCAGTGACTGCTATATTTTTAGTAGAAAAGTTAGTCTGATAGTAAAAGACAAAGTTGATAAATAGCTTGGCGTCGTTCTATATGAACGACATCGCAGAAGCTCTCCGAAGCACAATACAGTAGCTAGTCTTATACTAGTATAAAAGTTTCTTCGCCGAAATCCAAGGATATGCGTTTATCCTTTACGATTGGTATTATCAAAATCTTCAAATGGTCTGGACTTTGATGCATTTACATTATGCGTTTGAAAGTCTATAGTGGCATTTAACTGATCAACATCTTCAAAGCAATTTGCGGTGAAATATGTTTCTGAAATAACGTCCAATCATACGGTTATTTGCCGCCAAACTAAATTGCTTTGAAAAAAGTTGTTTGTTTAATCCCCTTTTAAATGTACAGTGCATATCGTATTGTCTTCATTTTGTATATATCTTTGGTACTCTTTATAGAATTAGGCGATGATATACTTCGTAACGGAAGCTTTACAATACTTCGGCATTTAAAAAACTATATTATGGTAAATCCTGAATTTATCGTCATAATAATAGATATTATATCATTTGAAGAAACTTTAAATGTTGTTAATACTAGATGATTGGCAATAATTTATAATTAGATGTTTAACTATTAGTCGCCAGTGATATATGCTAATATAAGGGTTGAATGTACAGATATGATTGTGTAAATACATTTTAAAACTCCTATTGGTTTAGGTGCTTAGCTAGTAAATTTATTTTGTTGCCATATTAATATTACGGTTATTATTATTTATAAATATCGATAAGTCATAAATTAATCTATAATTATGTTATGTGATATGATATAGTAATATAATCTGTATCACTGTCGTATTGTATTATTTATTCTGCGGTATCCAATAACAATAAAATAAAGCAATTAAGATTTAAACTTCTGTTTTTGTTGAAACCAAAATAATAGAAATCAATTATATCTATGATTTCATTTTTACAAATATGATTATTTTAGCAATAAACATATTTCTAAAGTTAATTGAAGAACTGCATTTAGTTACAAGTTCACCGTTTTCATTCGGATTATATTTGGTTGATGATGTATTGAAAAAAACTAGACAAAGCAGTGCTACCGTAATAAATGTTAATGAAGACACAAAACAAGTTTAGAAATAAAACAATTATCTCATATTGGTCTCTTGGTATTAAATTCTAATATTATGATTGCAAATGTGTAAGATCACGTACCTAAATAGATTGTAATAAATTATATTGTACATTGCATTGGACCTTAGTAAAACAAATGTAATTAAATAAGCTTCCATCTAATGGCAAGCTGGGTTTTGTAAATGTATTTTAGATTATAAATGGAATTACTAGGGATGCGTGAGGACCAGACACAGATGGTTTAAAGTAAGAGTAATTGTTTACGGGCTTGCTACCACATACCTTGTTTTAAAACAAAGTATAGAGACGAGAATCTCTATCTATCTGTCTTTCTCATTTCACCCGGCAAAGAAAGATAGAGTATTGCAATGAAAATCTATCTATCTATCTCATTTCATCCGGCAATGAAATAGAAAGAGACAAAGGATGAAGTATTACTTTTAAAAAACTAAGGTAATTACTCGCAATCCATTGGGATTATTGTATACTAGCTTTCCGCTAGCGGCTTGGCCTGCATGAACGAAAGCTTCCTCTTGAGTTATTCTATCTGTTGTTGAAAATCGCAATATAATCCGTTTAAAAGATTTCAGCGTACAGACAGCGCGAAGCTATTTTGTTTTATACTCCAAAAATCCGTCGGCTTCAAATTGACTTACATTTAGAGTTAATTATCTATATATTTTTTTATTAATTTGAATTTTAACTCTTTCAATTCGCTCGCATATATTTAGATTTCTCATATAAAATGTTAAGCTATTTGGTAGTTATTTATTTGTAGAAAATAAATTGAAAGTTAAAATTTTTAATTGTAGGCGCCTTAATAACTCCCAAATAGTTTGGACCCGTTGCAAGTCGTTACATGGTAACATTATCCCGTAAATAATTAACTCAAACGTTAGTGACAATGAAAGATTAAAGCAATACGTTGATTTAATGTTACTTTATAATTCAGTTTTATGTACAGCGTCTTCAATGGAATAAAAATTATCGATTGCGAATCGGAGAAAGCATAAGAATTAATTTTATATTGACATTTGCTAAACATTTCCAATACAACATTTTTCTACTGATGATGATAACTTTAACTGATGGTTTAAACCGTATAATAATTTTATCATGAAAAACATATGCAACTCTAACTCATAAAACATATAAAATAAATAAAAAAACTATGTTAACCAAACTAAAACCATTATTTTACGAAAGCGTGTTATAAAATTATTTCTTATTCTGTGATGACACATGATAATAAATTCAAAAGGGTATAAAAAAACGAATGGAATATATTTCGGATGCGTTCAGTGTTAATATGTTATGAAACTAATGACAAAGAATTTGTAAATATTGTTGGAAAGGTGATGGTGTGATTGAGGAAGAGAATGGAAATAATTGCTGTTACATCTGAATATATTATACTATTATTATAATAAATTCTGTATTATAAATTAATATTGAGTGTTTCATTTATAAATAAGCCTTCCCTGTCATCAAATCTAACGACTGAAGGCCAATGACTGAAAGTGCCTTCCGAAGCAAGAAGAGGCTTTGGGCCGGGAGACTGAAATCGTCTGTCTAAATGTGATCGAATCTTGACGTCTTCGAAGAGTTTTGGAAATATTATAGAGATGTATATTATAGAGATTATCGGAATCAGTAAATGAAAATGGCTAAAGAGATAACAAAATTTAATCTCCGATCACTAAAAAATGACATTTTAATGGTCCCAAACGGATGATACCTATTTCTTTTTTAAGATACGTGACCCTTTATATTGACACTTTAGCTATTTGAAGATTATGAGCGTTTTTCTAATAAATAAAAACTACACTAAAAATACCAAACTATTTGTAAACAGCAGAATAATGACCGTATTATGTCTCATCTGATTGATCCCTGACCAGAACTTCACCTGCACCTGACGCATTTCGTTGTACATTACTCGTTGGTAAGGAATAGTTTTACAAATAAATAAAAGGTTAGCAGCAATAAACCTGAAATCGTGTCTCAATTTGCGGCAAATTTCTCCATCTGTGCTTCGCCTCAGTTAATGTAATAATGACACTTCCATGGTATTTCGTTACGTAACATTAGTACAATAATCGAACCCTTAAACAAAATCTTAGTGGTAGATATAAATTAAAAAAATACTTACAAGATCAAATGGTGACCATTGTCGTCACGTCAGGAATCGATGATTAAATAATTTGTTTCTATTTAAGTTCGTCCTGTCCTGTATATTTTTTTTTTACTTTTTTAGCTTACTTTTAGATATTTTGCGCTAACAAAACTCCTACGTATCCAACTACTTTTAACTGTTAATTAATCATGCCAATATAATGGTTTACCTACTCGTACTAATGTTAAACCGACGAAGTAAAACCCTATGGAGAATCATATAAAATGCGCTCGAGGCTGGGAAGAAGAATGCGGACCAGAATCCTGCACCATGATATTTTATTCATGCCGGCGTCATTGTCTACGAGGGACAATGCATCATAATAGGCCTAGAAACTATGTTTCAGCTATATAAAACCTGCACTGTACCCACGCTTTAAAGTGTAATGAAATGGATTACCTTTGGTTTTATGATGTAACTCACACCATTATGCCGCTTTTCTCAAAGGAGAGGTCCTTCCCGGACTTTGTAACAAAACATTATAATATTTTGGTAAATAATCGACTAACTGCAGACACTGTTTCACATATTATATATTTCATATATCATAATAAATAAAACATTTTTCTTTTTTCATTTTTCATGTTTCGCTGAATTGTCAAATGTAAAATATAAAATAATAATAATAAATTGTCATAATCAAACACAAGAACCATTTATGAAACTAATAATCTTTTAATATCTGAAAGAAATTGCTTTTCAGTCCTTCCATCAATAGTGTTGCCTATGATGTTGTCTTATCTTAAACCTTTATATGAGTAATTCTTGTATATTGGAATTTCGGAAACGGCTCCAACGATTTTCATGAAATTTGGTATGTACGGAGTTTCCGGAGAAGTAACAATGAATTAGGTCTAGGTTTAATTAAAAAAAAAGTCCTTTTCGTTTTCGTTAAAATAGCCTAGACAGGCCGTTTTAATGTCTCAAACAAGCACGGGTTCGAATCTAGCTTGGGTTTTTTTTTCTTTTTTTTTTTAGCTATTACCTAATAAAAAACTACACATTGAGACGAACTAATTACTTTACCACAGAAAATAAAATCGATAACAACGGCAGAACCTGAAACCAGAATACGCCGGTTCTAATCCGACGACAGATTATTTATTACATTTTATTTTTGAAAAGAAAAACGCGAAATAAACATAAAAGCTTAGTGTTAAAAATATAAGATAGATGAAATATTCCTTGAGAAACCTATATACCTATCTATTGAAAAACTGCAAACGGGGAACAACTTAATACTTTACTACACAAATCAAAATTGAAAAAACGTCGAATTATTAAGTTGTTGCGTAATTTAGATGTATCAGAAGGACTATGCCATGGTGTAACATTCATTGTCAAAATTGTAACAAGTCTCTACAATCACAATTAATCTAGGCAAAACTGTTTAGTGGCGAACAATCCGGCAACAATTTCCCGTTAAATCTGCATTTAGCATCAGTCCACAAACCTATAGGACAAAGGCTATATTTTATCCTGAAAAACAACACATAAAGGGATGAAAATGGGAATGGAAGTTTGTATAGGGAATGTCACCATTGCTTACTATTCAATTTGTCGTTTTATATCCGTATCATGATATGAACCCTTATACAAATCAATTCTTAAATTATTTAAGCTGATTACGCAGGAGTAAATAATTTTTAAATTGTGTAAACGAAAACGTTACATTTAGCTCATGTTGCTAGGAGACACCACTGTATTTTAAAACGGGATTTTGATTGTATATAATGTTTTTAGTTTTTATTGCTTTCCGATTTCTATCAAAGTAGCTTACGTTTTCAATTTTTTCGTCTTTTTTGATAATTTAATTTAATGAGGAACGTTAATCGGGCGAAAAAAATTAACGTTACATTTTGCTCCTTTAGATAAAGCTACTGTAATTAAAAAGTGATTTTGATATTATGTAATGTTTGCTTCTCTGCTCGTCCTTTTTTGATAAACAGCGTTTTTCGTAAACTATATTTAAATAACTAGTTTATATTATTATCTCATTAGGATACAAAATATAATTTACGAAAAACATGATTTATCAAAATAAAAGAACGAACAAAGCTAAGTTATCCAGGTACTTGTAAATTAACTATGTAATGTAGAAAAAGTAAACTTCATTAATCAGTGACAACCCTAACGCATTACAAACCGGCGCCGATAAATTAGGACAATTGGACAATTTGAAAATAAGGACAACTTCAACTACATCAATGAGGGCTTCGATATCGAATAGCATACGACACACTCATATTTGTATCTATAGTCGAGAGAAGTAATGAAAATGTTCTAATTTAGGCAGGTATATTTACCAAATAAACAAGAATTTCAATGAAGGACGCACTGTTATTAGTTAGAAAACTATTATAATTAGCTATTTACCGTAGGGATTACAAAAAAATCGATGTTGACATCGGTAACATCGTCGTAAGCCCAACATCTGAACGTCCATGTTGGATAACATCGATGATTTTTACAATAATTGACAAATAAATAATTATAAATAAATAATATAATTATAAAATACAAAAACAATTTTACACTCGCAGAAATACAAAATTAACTGAATATTTAGAAAAAAGAAGTTAACCATGTAAATAATTTAAAAAACTAACATACTCATAATGTAACAACTAACATACTAATAATATCGACTCTAATATATATATTGAATCTAAAAATACGAGCCTTTTATTAAAACGGTAAACAAACAACACTTATTGGATATTTAAATGTGATAAGTCTTTTTTTGGAACAAAAAATTGCTTTTACATATTTTCTATTTCAATGCATATGAAAACTTCTTTGCCTTCCGATTCAAAGCACCAAAAATTCGTATAGATTTCTGTATCTACATAAATTTTACGAGTAACATACATCTACTCTACCATCTGGGTCACGTGTGTTGGCGTGTCGTGCTCGACCCGGCTTCCACGAAGCCTAGCCTGGCGCCTACGTGGCAGATTACAATCTAGCTTATCAGTTTCAGTTCTGACGCGAACTTTGACCTTATCAATCCTTTGACTAAGCTTATTGCTTAGTCATCGCTTGCTTTAAGACACACAATAACAATCGATATAATAGTCATAAAATATGTCACACATAATTTTTTTTTTTTTATATTATAACAAGTATTTACTATACGAGTGCGGAAAGTAAGGTTTTACGAATAAGGGCCAAATTCATTGGCACGATTTCGATAAACCTTTTACGCTCAAGTTTCTTACAACATGTTTCAATGCTTTTTGCGAGGAAATAAAACAAATATATAGGATAATAAAACTAAGTATGTAGTAAAGGTAAAAATTATATGTTAAAATTAAACGTGATCTTTGAACATGTTTTCGTGTCACACATTTTTATTTGAAAATATTCGTTCTAGGCTCCTTGAATACTTTTGCCTCTAAAGTTTGACATATTTTCATCAATTTTTTTTAAATTTCTTTGGCGCTCGGCCGAAAAAAAATAAAAAAATACTTTTAAGCATGTGTGCAGTAAAGGATTTAGTACATTTTTATTTAACACGTGTTTAAAGACTCACTTTCGGTGTTTACAATGGATTAAAAAATAGCGCTTTATGAGCAACTGCATTGAAAACCATGTTTAAACTTATTATTACAACAAGTGCCAATCCACAAGTATTGTTTACATATATGTCGGCGGGTATTCAGAACAGGCTATTACGAAGCCCAAATAGATTGTCCATATCGGAGGACTATCTTTAAAATAACACTGCAGGCGTGTATACCAACGTGGATTTGCTCCATTTTATAACTTTTCACACGAAAATATAACGAGATGAGCGTGATATCGTCAGATGTCTTTACTCCTCGGCGACCGCGAACAGAATGTGTGCCAAAATGGCGGCAACTTGCTTTTTATTAACGAACTGTCAAAGTCAGTGTCACCATTCTAATAAAATTAAGGGTATCGATGATCACGCTCTCTTTACAATCGAGTAATTAAGTAATC